ATGGGGTAGGAGAGCGGAATTTTGAGAAGGTAACTGATTGCATGGAATCCTAGGCTGTGTAGCTTTACAAGTAAATTTAGTCCATGGCTATAGTTGGAAAGTCGGCAGCAGAGGTCTAAACCTAAAAAAAAGGATTGCAGCCTTTCTCAAGCTTTGCGAATATAAAAAACCCTTTCCAATGTATATTATTATAGATAAAAGTTATAGTAGCTACTTTTGGGGGGAGAATACCCTATTTTCTAAAATAGCTCTAACTTCTCTCTATGACCATGAGATTGATTTAAATACATTTGTTTATTTTAGGTATTTTTCTAAATGCAAAAATTTTGGCACAAATAAAAACCATTTGTTTATCATTTGTTTATTTTAAGTATTTTTCTAAATACCTATATATATTTGCACGTATAAACATATACATATACAGCATCGGCTTGCAATAGCATGTCGCCTATGTTCATTCAAATTATTATAGCATGGAGCCATATTCGGTATAAATAGGCGAACAATTTAATAACAAGCCACACTTGAAATCTTCCAGCCAAGCAGTCGATTTCGATTCAGAACCAAAATGAAACCGTTAACGATTTTACTAATCGCCATTGTGGCAACCGTATTCTTGGTTCAAAGTGCTAGCAGTCAAACATCAAACTCAACCAGCTCCAATTCAACAGCAACAACCACCAACTCTACAGCCGCTGCAACTACTTCCGGATCAAGCAGCTCGAGTAGCAGCACCAGAGTAGCGCGACTGCGCCGGCAGATCAAGAGATTGAAGAGAGCTGCGAGAAGGAACCGTAGAAAAAATAGAAATTTACAAAACCGCGTAACCAGACAGGAGCGACAGGTGCAAAGGTTAAGAAGAAATAGACGCCGACGCGGTTAAACCCTCCATGTTTATGACAGAACACATCAAAAATTTAACAATCGAAATAAATAACTAAAAATATGTACATACCAAATATAGGTTAAGAATCCGGCAACAAATGTCTTTTATTTATTCCAATTTTGGTTTGATTAGAATGATGAACTGGTTGCTCTAAGTCACTAAAAATTCAATAAATCGAGGAATAATCCCGACGATACTGTGAGGAAGATTGGCCCCTATTATGAGTTGCATTGGATTTTCGACTGTGGTGGGAAGTGCTGAGCGAACGAATTTTCATTTGGTATTATGGCGCTCATACGATGTAGAATAGAATTTCGCTCGTTTATGTTGTTCACAATAGTATGTTTTTAACAGCTGAGATATTAAGCAAATTAAAGGAAAAGAAACACACAACGTAACTAAAGTAAACAGTATGCTTTTATGTAAAGTTGTGTTAATTAAAATTAAGTAAAAAAGAAAGCGAGTTGATAAAAACTTTGTGAAGATAAGTACAACGGAGTTATGGTTCGACGATTCATCAGAGGATGAGAGTTTAGTGGAAATGGCCAGGGATAGAAAACGTTTAAGGGACGCTTTGCAATCCCTTAGAAATGGATTCAACCGCGTAATTGTAGCCTTTTAAATATATTTTCACATATTTGTATAATATTTATATTTTTTTGTCGACAGATTTATAAAAAACTTCCGACTGTCTAAAGAGGCGTTTGTGGACCTGCTGTCCGCTACAGAAGACCTACGGCAGCAATGCACTCGAGCCAAATCTATTGCAAATATCTTAGAACTAGCAACAGTTCTGCGATTTTGTGCTCACAGATCGTACCAACTGAGCATTGGGAATAAAAATATGCTTGGGCTTGCCAAAGATGAATAAACTTCATTTACACAGGGGCTGAAGTGCAACAAGCGAAAGCACATTTTTACAGCAAAAGCAGAATTCCACGAATAATCGGACGCACATTAAAATTGTCGCTCCCAAAAAGGAATTCCATCATTTATATTACAACAGAAAAGGATTAATACTATGATTGTAAGTATATACATAAATTTTCATACATATATGCTAAGAATCTCTAATTGTAGATCTGTACACTTTTGTATTTTTTTAGGTTTGAAAATGAAAATAAAATACATAAATGCAAAAAATCCGGCAGCGACACATAATTCCATGGTGTTTAATATGTCACCATTGAAAGCACACTTAGAACAGTAACATCATAATGGTATTCGTAATACTTGGCTACAGGGTATGTAATCAAATACAAAACATACATTTATTTCCTTTTTCTAAATTATTTTTTATCCACGTTAGGTGATGCTGGTTACGCTCCGAAACTGTACTTGATGACGCCGTTCAGAAATTCTGAGGAAGGATTCTCCTCAAAGAATAATTGGAGTTTAAAAAAAAAATAGATTCAGATGTTTATTGCTAGAGAGAGCTCTTTATTACACTCCAAAGAAAGCAACGCAAATAATAAATGTGTGCGCAACTTTGCACAACATTTGCCAATTTTATAATGTAGAAATAACCGACGGAGAAGAGTTTCCAAGTGAGCCTCACGACTATGATGCCGGAGTCGTTCAAATGGACTCAATTGAGAATCCAGAAGCAGAAGATATCACAAATTAAATTTTAAGAATCTTGTAAATAACTAAAAAAGTATTAATAAAGGTATTCCAGTCTCTTTTATTAAATTCATATGCATATTTTAAATTGAATAAAATAAATCATCATATAAATTCATGATTTAAAATATCTACATAAAAGTTTTTGCTGCCTTTCTCAATTCATATCACAGGCAAACAAAATATCGTTAATTCACTTATATTACTTAAAATTAATAAAGTCTTCTTAATACTACTAAAAAAATTAACACTTGAATTCATACGCTAAAAATATAATTATACGATACGGTTTAGGCAACATTTTGTTCTTCATCTCCAAAAGTGCAACCTTTAGTTGCAGTTTTTCTTTCCGATCATGCTGCTTTCTTATAACTTTACTTTTTTCTTTTGTAAGAGTTCTTTGGTTGAGTATTTTTTTAAGTAGTACGTTCGTTTTGCATATTTTTCCGTTTCTCTAGGACTTTTTTTTATTTCTTTTATGTTAGAAATTACCTCTTCATAAAAAGCCTTCTGGGCATTTGTCTGGGCTCGCAATAACCTCAGTTTCCCCGTTTTGCAGCACCATTTTTTTCTGGGGTTTCGTGTTGTATTTTCGCCATCTACATAGTTTCGGTCCTCGTTGCTCGTTTCCAAATCGAATGGTGGCTGGTTTTCATCTGCTGGAGCCGGCTCAGGCGAATCTAGGTGCTGATTATCACCACTTATATCTAGGCCGAATTCCGCTCCCGGTGGATTTACACAGGCATCAAGCTCGAGTAACCCAATTATGGCCTAAAAAATAAAAAAAAACGAACGCAAAATACTTTCAACAATTTTCTCACACTACGCTACAGTATCGAAAGCAAAGTTCTGTTCGACTGAAAATTCGATACTCAACGAAAATTTCAACAAATTTTTCATAATACCAATTTTACACTCGATCTTCGATAACCAGCGAAAAACTCATAATAAGGGCCACTGTATGCAGTTCTACATGAGGGTTAACAATCTATTATCGACCAGATTTTCATAGTTCGATAATTATGTTTTATGGTGTATTACATCAACTCAACAATCAAGTTTTTATTTATTTAATTTTTTTATGTACATATGTTACCGCATAACGATAGACAACATTAAACGATTTCTACGATTCTGTTTTTTAAACGAAAGTTGTTACCTCAGAGGTGGTACCATAATCTTAAATTTTTATATGAGACTTCAAGTTGGTTTAGCTTTTTGCGTAAAAATTACTTGTCTTAAAAACGTTTCACGGTGAGCCACCCAATTTTTCTTCACCCTGTCATTCCGTTATCATAACCAAATGATTTGAGCTAAAAAAGAAAATCTTCTATGTGAGGATTCGAAAGATATCTCGATTATCGTTAATTTTTTGTAGAATAACTTTTCTAACTTACCCTACTTAGAGTAAAATCTTCATCTATCCATCGCAAATGATATTCATTTAACTTTAATGCAAAATCTTTGAAATTTGCAAAAACCGCGAAAACCCATGTTTTTTCCAGTTTCTGCGATGAGTAACCATGTTTTATTCTGATTGTACCGGTTAAATGCTTTTCAAAACTTATGAAAATAACCGCAAAGCAGTATTCAAGCCATTTTTGTATCTTGTGCATGTCAGAAGATATTGCAGTTAGAACTTTAAAAATGAGAAACCAAAGTGCTTTCAAAGTGATATTAGCTCAATAACTTTGTTGGTTTGCAGAAAATCGCAAAAAGTAAGAAAATATTTTTTGAACAAAACCTAATGGCCGATAGACTAACATATTCTGACATACACAAGATACAAAAACGGTGTAGTTACTACTTTGAGGGGATTTTCACAAGGAAATCATAACGACTACAATCTGAATAAAAAGTATGGTAACTTTCGCTAAAAAATATGGGTTTTCGGGATTTTTGCAAATTTTAAAGCTAAAGTAAATTATCTTTGCACTAAAGTTATATGAATATCATTTGTGATGGATAGATGAGGATTTTACATCCAAATTTTTACTGTAAGTAGGATGATTTTTATCTTAGTTAGGAAAATTATCCTAAGAAATAATAACTGAGATATCTTTCGAATCCTTCCATAGAATATTTTAATTTTTAGTTCTAAGCATTTGGTAATGATGATGGAGTGTTCTTTTGGGTTAAACCTTAACCAAGCTCATTGTGAATAGATAAATGAACACTACCTCTTTGGGATACAAACTATGTCCGCGATGCACAGACTGCAGTCTTGCAGAGTCAATACGTCTCATGTATCTACATACATATTTATGTACAACACCATAGCTGACTAACAACCTTTCCCAGAATTTGTACGATATATCGACCAAATTGATTACTGAGTTCGTGGCATTTGTACCAAATGCTCAAAGAATTTTTTTTTATTAAAAATGGCACTTAGTTATACAACAAAATAAAAATAAAGAGTTGCAGGCACTTCCATTAGTAAGGATCAACACATTAGTTGAAAAAACAATAGTGCCCAAAAACCGTGGATTTAGCCACGCCTGTTTCGTCTATTGCGCCGCCGTTGTCGCTGTTGTTGTTGCACTCTTCTTTGTTGAACTTGTCTTCTACGTTGAGTTCGTCTTCTACGTTGAGCTTGTTTTCTACGTTGAGCTTGTTCTCTTCTCAATCTTCGTCTCAATCTTCGGATTCGCTGGCGTTGTCTCCTCAATGTTGCCGAGTTGCTGCTGCTGCTGCTCGGTGCTTGGGTAGTGGTGGTGGTAGTTGTGGTTGCGCTAGTTGAATTGGAACTGGTTGAATTGGAACTTTGGCAACTTGCACGATGAACCAGGCATACGGTTACCACAAAGGCCAGTAATAAAATCGTTATAAGCCTCATGTTGTTGTTCACTATTAAACTCGCGCTTGGAGTGGAGATGGCAAGTGTAGTTAATTCACAGAGTCATGGCCCTTTTATACCCGATATGTCTTAGAGTGGAGTATAAATAAACTGGATTATAGTTTCTTACGTAGGCAACCAGATATTTACAGATAAAACAGTTGTAAGTTAAATTAAAGAAGTAAATTTATTTACATTTAGCACCACCCAAAAACAGAAACTAAACAAAAAAGACAAAATAAATATTCATATGTTTAGATACGTAAGTACGTAAGTGTTCTGCTGTTCTGTTTATAAACAGTTTTGTATTAATAACCAAATAGACCAGAGATGGGCAAAGTGGCTCCCAGGAGCTTTTTGCACTTAGGGGCCGACTTGGCACATTTAGATGCTAGATGAGGGGCAATATCTTCTACTCCGACTGCCATGACTTATATATAAGATGCTTTTAATATATTTTTACACCCCCTTTAGCCTGGGAACTGATTTACTTCTTGCGTAGCACTTGCTGGCTCTGTGGAATTATAGGATATAAAATTGCAGTTGGGCTATCAAGGCCCACAGATCCCACCAGGTAAGATCTAAAGTGGTGATGGAGTGTCTTGATAAGCTAAGTAAGGAAACGAGATGACTATTAAACTTGCTAGGAAAAGAGTATCAACACCTTTTGCCGGCATATTTAGGATTCTTATGTGGCATAGGAAAGTGGACACTCTCTTCCCTGCTACGGCTGGAGGAAGAGGCTTGAAGAAAGATATCGTAAGTGCAGGGCTCATCACGGAAAGGTGTCCTGCACTAGTGCACCAACGCAAAAGACACTTAGGTATTAGATAATTTTTTAATAACCGAGGGCATGGGGAAGTCTAGAGATATAAACTCAGTACTGAAGTCTCTCTATAGGATACACACTATAAGTCCATGAAGGGAGCACAAGATCCAGAGTTTTATCCCCTAAAATAATAATAATAACACGGTTCGAAAAAAATTTTCAGCTTATAAATTATTTTATGCTGATTTGAAGTGCACAATTACACAATTTTTCTAGCACGTCCAGTTTTAGAGAAAAAAAAAACTATTGAAGTGTCGAAAAATGGCAATAAAAATCCAATTCATCTCACGGATTCTACCTCAAGTCGATGGATTCAGTAGAAAGAGGTGAAGACTTAAAAAAACTTAGTAAAAATAAACACTAGTGAAGAAAATGGCGAACGATTCCACCTAGACATAGTCATAGACATAGACATAGCAAAAAGTTGCGACATGTCTGCGTACTTTTTCAGTATATCGATTTATATAATTGTAAGTGTATGGTTGATGAAATATACACGAAATTCTCGAGGTATTTAGAATAAAACCAAATATAACATGTGCATGAGTACAAAACAAACAAGAAAGTAATTTGTTATTGTCTTCGTTGTTTTGCTCAGTTACTATTTACATATATATATGTGTATATATATACATATACATATATATGTTTTGTACCCTACATACGGCATAGCTATTAGGTACATACCTATATTATCAATAGTAGACTATTCCAATACTGTTTTGTTTCAAAGCCGAAATTTGTAGTACTTTTTAGTATCAAAAAATATACATTTATATACATATCTGCACAGATTTATAAAATTAAATTTTGGTTTATAAAATTTTAGATCCAGAGTTGCAGTGCCAGTTTAAACTTAGGTCGAGTTGAAAAGCTGGCTGACTTTTGATTGTCTAATCTTAGTTTAAATCAGCCAGCTCGAGCGTTTGAACGTAGTTTAAACCACAGCCGTTCATTGAAAAACTGGCTCTTAAAATAGCGTTATTTACTTCTTCAATGATTTACAGGGTGTATGTGAAACCGTGAAGAATGATATTGCATATTTTTAGTGTTAATTGTAATCCTTGCTATTGTTTATACTATGTAGTATTGTTATTTCTATGTATGAATGACATGTGCAGTGAATAGAAATAATGAAAATGATGATATTTTCAACTAATGCCTCCGGCACTCCACAAATATTTCATCGATGGGTCAGAGATAATATCGCTTTGTTATCTATAGTTAATTGTCAGAAGAAGCTCTAGAAGTATAAAACAAAGGGCTTAAGGCCTAAAAATGTTCTCTAGTTGTCTAGTAAGTGCAGCAGAAAAAATACGAATGAAGATAGATTCAATAGATATGATAGATATAGACTATGAGAAAACTACAAAAAAAAATGGAGGATTTGCCGAAATAAGCAAATCATTTGGTAATTATTGAGAACTATAGTGCTGATGAAGATGTTGATAGCGATGATGATGACTGTTTTTATTAAAGGTTATATTTTTTAAACTATTTTCTAAGCTTAACGAAAAAATAGAGAAAATTTGTAGAATTCGGATTCATTAATATATAAAAAATTACCTATAAAGCATAAGGTTTTTTTACTTTAACAAATCAGTTATTATTTATTACATTACTTGGCAACGTAGGTGCATTAATCTGCTCTATGAAAAAAATCTTTTGACAGTAGTAGTGATGAAGATAATGATGAGGATACCTATGATAATGAGAGCGATGCTATTTAGTTTGTTACTAATGATGATTATGATTTTAACAAATTATCATTAATAATAAAAATTATTTATAAGAAAAACAAAACTAAAGTTTCCTTTTTTCGCTCTTTGGTAATACCATAAAAACTTAAATAAAAAAATTCCCACTAAACTATTTTCGGATTGTTTTTTTTTTTTACTTATTTGGTGCTAGTTATACAAATACATCAAAATATTTTAAATTACATGCACGTATGTATGAATGGATCTCCAGTTTCAGGGTCGATAACCCCACTGTGCGGCGTTTATTCCTGCAGATGAATGAATATGAAAACAGACCTCGAAGTATATATCGAGCCTTAACTGCAAAAATTTTGTTTCGTTAATTTGTTTTCAAATTATAGTTTCGCTGCGGAAACGCATGTAGTTTCGGTAGAAGTATTTCTGCATCAAAAATAAAATTTTGAAAAAAAATCGCTTATTTAATTTTCGTAGTTACGGCTACGGTTGGCTTTAGTTAGAAGCATAATGGAATGAATTTTTTCCTAAATCGAATTTAACAATACATCCCGAGTCAAAATTATAACCGCGCCACATATTGTCAAATTGTAGTAATTAATTTTTTTGTGATTTAATTTTAGCTTTTTTTTACGCATATATGCTCCACTCTTCAACAAAAACCGTATAAACCCAAACTTAAAAATTTGTGCAATATTAAAAAAAAATTAAAAAACTTTCGTAAAAACGGCGAGATTTGCAGTTATGTAGCTTACCCTCAAACTTGCACTTTATTATACTAATGCAATGGGCTACAACACTGAATTGCTCAAAATTTTGTCTGAGAAATCTAATTAAGATTAAAATTTTTACGAAAATTTTTTGATTTTTATTTTAATTGCACAAAGTTTGAAACTTAGATTTATACATTTATTGTTGAACATTGATCTTTATTAAAAAAAAAAATATATAACTAAAATTATGTAACTTAAAAATTAATTGTTAAAACTTGTCAATATGTAGTGCGTTCAAAATTTTGACACGGTGTGTATAGAATGTTCAATTGAAATACAAATACATTTTCGCTTGGAATATTCAGCTGTTAGTTAAATAAAAACTTTTCATACACGTGCGCTATGTACACACATCGTCAACATTTGCTTGCACAGCACTCAAAGAGGAAAGCAACATAAAATACCAGCAGACCTAAATATTTATTAAAAATTTCCATTAAAAACATTTACTTTTAAGCTCTTGATTTACGTAATAAAATTATATGTATTTAAAACAAAAAAACACTTCCATAATTTGTAGTACGTCTATCAGAAGACATGCGTAAATATGTTTGTAAATAAAACAAGTAAGAGCAGCGCTGTCTTCGGCTATGCCGAAGGCTTCATACCTTTCATGAACATATTCAAATTTTACTTTGACAGATTACTGCTTTTGAATACGTCTGCATACATCGATAGAGGAGTTACATACTTATATAAAAAATCGCATCTAAACAATCAGAGGTATGGAAGATATACTTTATATGACACCAATCTAAGTGATTTTCACTGCTATGTGATCGGTATGTAAACCGGTAACACAATTTATTGGGTTTAGTTTCCTACGTAAAGGAGATATATCGCAAAAACTGGTATCTGAACAATCAGTGCTATAGGAGATAAAGCTTATACAGCATAGATTTTGACAATTTTCTCAGTAGACTTTGTATTATTATTTATACAATAGCTTACGAAATTTATCGGTTTTAGCTGTCCAAATAAAATAGTTTTACATTAAAACCCCATATCAGAACAATCAGTTATATGGAGGCAATATATAAGTTACAGTGACCCAATATTTGTTAGTTTTACTGTAAACTATCTGTTGATAATGAGTGAAAATAGTGCGAAATATCATATTTCTAGCTGCATATATTTAGAAGTTATAACAATGAATCTCATATCTGAACAATCAGTTGTATGGGAGCTATATGTAAAACTGACCCGATCTTTGTTATTTTCACTGTAAGTCTTCTGTTGATAATGAGTGAAAACAGCGCGCAATTTCATGGTCCTAGCTACATAAATGGATGAATTATAACGAAATATTTTATATCTGAACAATCAGTTGTATGGGAGCTATAGGTTATAGTGACCCGATCTTTATTATTTTCACTGTAAGTCTTCTGTTGATAATGGGTGTAAGTACTGCAAAATGTTCGTAGCTGCATAAATGGAGAAGTTATAAGGAAAAATCTCATATCTGAACAATCAGTTGTATGGAAGCTATTTGTTATAGTGGTCCGATTTTTTGGTTCCGACAAATGATTAATACATTATAAAAATACACCCACCTACCAAATTTGATCCGGATATCTCGAAAACTGAGAGACTAGATTGCATACAAACAGACAGACAGACAGACGGACAGACGGACATGGCTAAATCAACTCAGCTCGACGTTCTGATCATATAAGTATGCAT